AATATATTTAATATTTATTTTATGATAAAAAAAGTTATTTTTTTCTTTTAATACAATATATTTAATATTTATTTTATGATAAAAAAAGTTATTGTTTTCTTTTAATACAATATATTTAATATTTATTTTATGATAAAAAAAGTTATTTTTTTCTTTTAATACAATATATTTAATATTTATTTTATAATAAAAAAAATTTTTTTTTTTTTTTTAATTTATATATCATAACTTAAAGTTCTAATTGAATAAATAAAACTATTTAATTAAATTTCAACTTTATATTTAAAGTTATATAGTTATATATTAATATCAAATATTTTATTCTATAAAATAATTTTACTGTTTTAGGAAAAATTTTCCAATTTAATGATAATTCGTTGATCAAATGTTTGTTTTAAATTCTTTTTACAATTAGATCCGATACAAATAATGGATGTAACAATAATATAATATAATAATGACTTCTAGCGGCGATAATAATGTCGTTTAAAATGGAAATGTAGTTGCAAAACTCCACGATCAAAGCTAGATTTAAATCCTTTCTTGTGTGAATACTCCCATTCACGATTTACAATACGGAAAGCAATATCCTAATAAAATAGAAAGGTGTTAACTAATTGGATGAAATTGTAAAGACGGTTTAAAAATAGCTAAGAACACCACCTCATATGGGGGACCTGCAATAAAGCGAATTAACACTGTATCATTGTTTCCATGTTCTCTTTCTATTTTGTATGTCGGTGCCTTGTTTTTATCAATCAAATCCGGGTAAAATATGTTGAACTTGTATCCTTGAACAACTTTTGGTGGAGGATTATCGCTGTCGTAGTGGGTTTGATTATATTTGTTCCATTCGTATCCAGTATGGACACGGTTGAAGTAACGAGGCTTACGTGGACGATATTTATCTTGCCACAAATAGGTCTGCATAGATATATTTTCTGATGAGTTTATGCATAAGGATAAATTACACGAAACACTACAACTCACAGTTTTAGCCAACTCTTCCTCTATATTAAAGATAGCTTCGTCTTCGTCTAGATCTTTGGCTGCCTCTCGTTCGTATAATACTTTAGAGACCTGTATAAAGTGAGAGAATAATAGTTGTTAAAAATTAGACATTATTAGATATAAAGTTTCTATATGGCTTAAGTATTACCATCGATTCTTCTTCTTCTTCAGATACTTGTTTCTTTGGTTGAACCTTCATAGGTATAAACTGGTTACGTAACACCTCTCTACGCCTTTCTTTCTGCAAAATAAATTTAATATCTAATTAACAAGAAGTGATCAGAACCAAAAAAAAGAGATAACAAATAACACACAAGTTTCTTCAAGTCTTCTTTAGGATCAATAATTTCGTATTGTTTGTCTTCTCGGAATAACTTTTCTATAGGTTTCGGGCTCATCGACCTATCATATTCTTCAACCATAGGCTCTGGAGTTTTTTCAGCTTCTTCTCCAATTGGCAATTCTTGTCCCTCATGCTCAGCTCTTACATGTTGAATACCGTGCGAAGCAAGTGCATATTCTAATTCTTCCTGAACCTTGATGGCCTCCTGCCTTTGCTTTTTGCGAAGTTGCTCAAGTCTCTTATGCAACACAATCTCATGCATTGCTTTTAGTTTTGCCTGGTACAGCATTAAGTGGTTAAATAATCATGTAGAATAAAAAAAGTATGTTTGATGACAAAAAAAATAAATATTAATATCATATCACCTTTGCTTTCCATACGGTCAATGTTTTCAGCTGCTGTTCCCAAAATTCAACCTCAACAGGTTCCTTACTCGATAATTTCTGTTGAATTTGAGCTTGCAGTTTGTTGAGTTGTTCGTAGGTTTTTCCCGCCATCATATTGTTAATCTCGTCCTTGACTGGAGCAATAACATTAGCAACAAGGTTCTTTTCGTCTTCCCGAAGTTCAGAAAGCTTGTCATCGCATACTACAATCATGGCCTTTTGACGGAGATCAAAATTAGAACATTAAAGGGAAATGTAAAATACCAGTTAACACAAGATATAGCATTACCCTCCAAAAGTCAAGATTGTTTGGATTTTTTTCAAGGCTCAAATATTTTTGAATGTCTTGATGTAATTCTTCAACCTCTTGTAGAGTAAGATTCTAATAAATTCATTATTTAATAAAAAAAAAAAAAAAAAAAAAAATCTCGTAAAGATGCATAAATTCCTTAATCAACATATACCTCAAAAATGGTGTAAGGCTCGTCCACATCAATCTCCAGCGATTCATCAACATCATCATTTTCATCTGCTAAACGTAAATTAATAGCAAGAATATCGATTGGTTTCGCTCGATTTTCTTTTATTCGAATTTCGGCACGTTTTTTAGATTGATCAAGATGAAACTACAGGTACAAATAATTCTTTGAGTGAGATAGAATTAAATAAGAGATCACAAGAACTTCATACATACGCTGTCTTCCTTTGACGCCCAATCTCCTAGTGAGGCGTTTTCAGCTTCACGTTGTATACGTGCCTATTGTTAGTTAACGTTAATAAAAATCTAAAAGCTATCTATAATGCATCATATAGTAAAACTTTACGCACAAGTTCCTCCTCTCTCAATTGTCGTTCCCTTTCCCGTTCAGATCTTCGTCTGTTCAGTTTTTCAAGTTCAAGCTTTAATTTGATATAAAATTAAACCGTTAGAAATTTATATGTCGCTCAGACATTTCTTGAATTAAACGCCATGCCTGAGTTTCTTCGCGACGTTCTTTTTCCCTGCGAATAGCTTCTTCTGGTGATATTCCTAATTTCCTCTCTCTGTCCTTCTTCTTAGTCCATTCAAACTTTTCACCAAGATTCGTGTCATTAAACGGATTATCAGCGTTTGAATAAGCAGACAAATCAATATACGATAATTTATCTAACAATGTCTCGCCGTCCTGTTTTCCAAATTTCATGTCACTCGAGTTATTTTACTAGATTAAATAATTCATAAATGACACCACTTACCTTTCTTGAATGTTTTGATTCTTTCCTCTTCTCCTTCTCTTTCTTGGAAGATTTTTTTCTTTTTTCTCCTACTTCAACCGTTGAATCACTTTTTCTACTGTGCTTATTACCATCTTCTATTACGCCTCTTCGATAGTCGTCGTCTCTTCTGTCGTAACCGCCACTTCTACGGCGGTCGTCATCATTATAGTCTCGCCTTTCGCTAGATTCTCTGCTTTTTGATGTGTGTCTTTTTTTCCGAATATCACTGTCGTCCTCGTCGTAGTTTCTGCGTTTTGTAGACATGGTTTGTTTGAGGTGATCTCTTCATTTTAAAACTGTTATGAGCGGTGATCATTTTTTAACAGTAAATCAATAGTATAATGCATGCTTAAATTTTTCGCGTTTAAATTCGCGAAATAATTTCATTGTTTCTAACTTTGACACAAAAATCCTTAGAAAACAAAGGTATTAAAAGCTAGAACTCTATTTTGACAATCCTCATTGTTAGAAAAAGCCTCAATCCTCAATCCATACAATCAGAATCTATAGTTCTCGAGAAATTTTTATCTAAAGCACTAAAAAAAAAATTCCTCAGCGATAATTTCTATATAGCCATCATTCAAATAATTTAAGCACTCGTCATGATAATTTCTTGAGTTCATCGTTAACTATAACGGGAATTAATTTATTTCATCGCCTAGAAGTCCTTTGTAACCTGAAAAAAAGCGCGAAATCTATTCATCATGTTTTAAATACTTTTAGTAACAAATCTTACTTTAAAAAAAAAAAAAATAATATTTCGATCTTATTTTACATGGTGAAAAAGTCTTGTACATTAAAGCGAACGCTTATTCAAAGGACCACATGCCAACAAAAAATCTTTTTTAAAACGACCTACTTTATTCCTTTGAACGTATATTGGTAACATCATGAACTCTTAGAAGTTGATAAATGACCTATCCCAAATAAGCGTGCATATCTCCTCAAATAATCGCGTTCTTCTAGTCGCGAAATGAAATTGTAAACTAAGGGTTAAACGGAAAGTGCATGTCGCCTTGTCGCCTTGTCACCTTGTCTTTTTGAAAAAAAAAAATTTTTTTATTAAATACAACTTAGAAAATAATATTTTGTTTCCTTGTGACTTGAATTATTCTTTAGTCACTTAAATCACCATTGCTTACAATTTATTACTATAGATTACTCGAAGTTCTTTTTACAATTAAAAACAAAACATTTAAATTTTTTGACTATTCAAATATATATGATCTTTTAATTTTAATTCTTTTTTTTTTAATGCTATCTCAACCTTGCTTTATTTGAATTAAGTAGAGATTATATATAGATTATACAAATGAATAAAACTTGATAAGAAAAAATCTATTTTATAGCTTATTGGCACTATTTTTTAAAAACAAAAAAAACTAATAAAGGATCTACTAATACTAAAAGAAAAAAAAATAAATTTAAAATGATTATGTTTGAATTTAAGTACTCATTAGATTAAATCTAATTATAAAAATTTTTTTATCTATATTATAATAATTCTATCTTATAAGTAGAACTATATATAAAAATAGAATTATACAAAATTAAATAAAAAAAAAAAAAAAATGTCATATATAACAAAAGAGATAATAAAGAGAAAAGAATATTAGTTTATTATAAATTGACTTGACTTAAAAAATTATATTATTTTTCAAGAACTTCTTCAATTCAAATCATAATATCTCTTTTTTGAACTGTTTTATTATAATATCTTATCTTTTAGCTTCAATCTTTTTTTTTAATTTCTTCTTATTTTATTTAATATAGGATTTCTATAAATGTTTTCTTAAATAATAATATGTTGAAAGTTATAAAAAAGACTTTAAGAAATAAAAAAATGTAGTTCAATTAATATATTAGTATTTTTTCAATTATATAAGTATAGAATAAGAGAGAAATTTATCATCTAATAAACTATTTTTCCTTATTATTACTTCAATTCTATTTTAAAAAAGAAAATCTTGATATATTTAGTTTATATTTTATTAAACTTAATAAATATCATACTGTTTTTTTTAAAATACTACTATCTTAAAGAGATTGAATTGTTGTTTTTTTTTTAGAAATATATTAATATTATTTTTCAATTAATATAAATAATTAAATCTTCAAATTATTCAATTTAAATACTAATAAAAGATAAATATAATATTTTTAAACCATTTTTCTTTTTCTATATATTTTTAAGTTTTGTTTTAAATATAGTTTAATTTTAAAAAAATTATATAATATATTATTGAAGCTCTTTAAACTCTTTTCACTGATCCCCTTTTTTCTCAAAAATTTCTTTTTTTGGTAATTTTCTTGGAAAAGAGAAGCCAACCTAAAAACATCTTATCCCTCAAAGATTCAAGACTTAGCAACAAACTAAAACATCCAATTATTTCCACAAGAGATCACTTTATTGATTAAAAAAAGTTTTGATAGTATAGTATTACACTAGCTTTACTTTATAAGAGAAGGAAAACATATCTGCAAACTGATTTACAGTAAACTTAGAAAAGTTCAATATCCATTTCCCAAGCTTCTAGCCAGGCCAGTGTCAGTTTACACCTTTCTAGGCACTAGAAAAAACTTTACAAATAATAGTTCTTTTCGATAAATCAGAAAAACTCAAAACTTGCAAAGTCCAGAAGGATATCAAAGGCTCTCAAGGACTAAATAATAGAATATTCTGATTCTATACACACTTGTCTAAACATCAAAACAAGTTACGTAAACGCGTATATGTCAAATAATTCAGCATCAAAATAACATAGCAAGGTTTATCAAATGTTTATAGATAAACGACTGATTTTTCATAACAAAGAAGATCAATATCAAATCCAAAAAATAAACAAGAACCAAACAGGAAAGATTAACAACTCATTCAAGTAAACAAGACACCAAATAAGACAACAGATAATCAACCCCATATACCTTGCTAAATATAAACAAATAAATAAATTAAGGATAAACAAAACCACAAATCAGCATTTTATCCTCCTTTACACATAATCAATATGACAAAGGAATAGAGAATCATGCAAATTGTCAAGAAGAGAGAGCTACATATCCTCAATACAATAGTTAGAATAGCCGAAAAACATGACAAGAGAAAAGAGACATGGGTTACCCAAATCATCTTTAATACTCTCACTACATAAGACAAGTCCAATCAGACATCAAGACCAACAGAATATTCAATACTTGATAGTATTCTTGTAAAAATTTTAAATGTAGATCCAACTACAGTCATCAAAACAGAGGTCCTTAAAACACATATTCTATACTTATGGACACAAGGTCAAGGAAGATAAGAAGACCTTACAGTATCTTTCTTGAAAGAAAAAGTCAGATACATCTTGAAGCAAGATACTTCCACAATTGATCACCCCCTCTATACTCAAAAAAATTTTCAGACCAAGGGTGAGTTTATAAACTCTATATTAGAAAACTCAACTTTAGATGAGAACACCACTCCAAATGAGGACATGGAAGTTCAATCAACAATCAATATTGAAATTCTGAATAATATTGAAGTTGAAATGGATAATAAGAACATGGAGGATAAGCTGGAGAAAAAACTTAAAATAGTAAACATTCAGGAAAGAGTTGAATGAGAAAACATAGTTGAACAAATCTCTTACAATACACGAAACAGACCCAAGCCATCCAGTTTATATCTATTTCATATTACCAAGAAAAGAAAATTCAAGGTCAGAATCCTTACCTTTAGAATATCAGGAAATATAGAAAAAGAACGATTAGGCTATCTACAAGATGCCTTGAGTCTATCTAAAGACATGCTACTATTCAAAAAAGATTTCCTCAATGATAATTTCTGAACAACTTTTACCTTTAAGAAATAGAAGATGCCTTACAATATATAGAGAAGATTAACAAAAAAGAAGAAAAAAACTTTATATTGATTTCTATACAAGCAGAAAAATGGGAAACTTCATACTCACTACTAGAAAAGAAATTCTTTAAACAAGAGATAGTAGAAGAAGAAAACAAGACAATGGTTGTCACATTGATAGATCTTGACTGCAGTCATACTTGTCAAGAAATCAAGACTACCTTACAAAAATATGGAAAGGTTTTGAGTATCTATATTTATAACCACTCTTGCTCTCAAAGGAGAATCAAAGTATGACTTATCCCTAACCAGCAAGACTTGGAAGATAGATAGTTTATTTATATCAAAGTAGATACCTTTAGAGCAATTTTTACTTAACATGAACCAGACAACCATAAAGTCGATACTATTCTTAAAAATCGTAACAGCCAATTCTTATGACTGTATAGTATATACAATATCTTCACAAGTCTTATAGCAAGGGCAACACAGCATACAGGGGTCAAAGCATATTATATATTAAAAAATCCTTTCACTTTGAAAAGAAGAGAATATGCAGTAATCTGTTTTGCAGCAGTAGAAGATCTGCACAAGGCCCTGAGATGACATATTTCTATACATGGTTACAAACTCAGCTGGAGTACTAAAGAGCATTTTAGGAAGGATACAATATATGATAAAGAAGTGACCAAAATAGAGAGCAGTGATCATAACAAAGAGAAAGCTTATCCTGAAACAGCACATATCAAACTACACTCAAGACAACTAGGTCAAACTGACATCAGAAGCAACAATAGAACAAACTGGTATATAATATTTGAGAATGACCCAGAAACTGAAAGCAACTCATAGAAAAGGATAGACCTTGGAAAAAAGGTAAAAGAAAGAAGACACAATCTCCAAGGTAGCAATTATATGGCTAAGACATCAGACACCCCTAAATGCTTCACTACCGGTAGTAACAGAGAACCAATTAATCATCATAACAGAAGAAGAAGTTTGCATAATAGGTCACAAAGCCCTTATCCAGAAAGTGATAGTGATCAAGATCCTCTATACTAGATTCTGAATAATCTCAAGCATTTAAATACTAGAATAAATATAATCGAGGAGAAAACAGATAACTAGAACAAGATAAGAGGAAGGTGATGGAATAATCGCTTCTAAAAATGTATTCGTCCAATCAAGATATATCAAGAGAGAGTCTAACTTACAAGAGAAATCAAGTTTATCCTAAAAAAAGGAGTGACTATGAAACAATACCAAAAATTAATACAACCCTTTCTACCACAATACATACCATACCACTTAATGATTTTATTTGTATAATTAAAAAGAATACTATTAATAAACTAGACAAAGAATGAACACTGTATAAAAACTATACTATTGACAACCCTACAATAGACAATACTAT